ACATGTACGCGAAACAGCGTTAACGAGCCATCCATTTTCCGGCATACTTTGCCACTGTATACGCAATTTATGAATTGACTTAAACGGTAGATTTTGGTTTATTGGCTCCACGAAAAAATCAGCGGACGGGCTGCTCTCTATATCACCATACCGCCTTCTTGGAATATGTTGTGTTTGGACTAGTTGGGCTGGGATGCCATCAGAAACTGCAACCAATCTCGCAGAAAGTTCTCGCTTCCGTAATGTCAAAGAGTATAGGGCTTTTAATCGCTGCGAAACATGAGGGGTGCTCTTGAAAGTAGTCTTCGAGTTAGCAAAAACGAGGCGCGACTGATCTAATTTCTCGAGCATTTCGATGGGTGCAGTTCTCTTAGACTTGTTCACTAACTTAAGTGTTTTATGATACTGCTCTAATGGGTTATTCGTTGCGGCGTATCCCGGAGGTGTGTGGAAAGCTTGCCACATGCTAAACCGAGGGTGTAATATCCACTGAGATATAATATGATCTGCTATTTTACGGAAAGGATCACAAACAGCTGATGCTTAGCGCCACGAAGCTAGAATGAATGACCTTCTTTTCAAGTATTCATCCTCATTTCGTGCATCGTGCAGGTTGTTCAGGTCGCGAAATATCATGTCTATAGTCACGCGCTCCAACTTCCCTTTAGATCGATCTTTCACATTTTGACACACGTGGAACCAACACATCAAGAACGTGGAGCGTGGTAATGCAACTTTGCACGCGTTGAATTGTGCGTTATCCGCGTCAGACATCACGAAATCCGGCGAAAAGGTTACCAAAAACACCTCTCCAATAATGCGCTTTGTAAACGCAATGCACCACTCAATATCGTTTCCTTTCCGTTGCGACGTACAGAAGAAAATTATAGGAAAGAAGTTGCCCCGACAATCTGAAAATCCAAATACGAATACAGGGATTTTTTGCTTGACTATACTATGCGTGCTGTCGATATGGAATATTGTCGTACAGCGTGGATCGATTTGCACTTCAACATACATTTCTAGTAATGAATAGCAAGTGACTCCAATACGAAATGGGAGTGCAGCAGACCCATCCCCCAGGGTAGGAACCAACATGTTGTCGTCGTGCTGGGAGTCACAAAGTATTATCATTCTCTTGGGATCGTCAGGTATATTTTCCAAGTTGTCAAGTATATACTGGCTACAAAGGTCAATCACTGGCTGAACTGCATCTCGCTTGTGAGCCTTACGCCATTTTTTGGTGTGGCTCTGTACTTGACTAAGGAGCGGCGGAGGGCCATCGAGCGTGAGACGGGATATTTTCTTGCAAATAATGCCAAACAGAGCCACAGGGGTGATCGAAGCGTCTTCGGCGAACCGCTCGTCAATGCACGTCTTCATGTTAGTCGTCAACACTGGCAGTGTTGTTTTAGGAGATAGTACAGCTGTATCTAACATTGTATGCTCACCATCGACCGATACAGTTGCCAAAATGCTCATTTCGCACGTTAATATACGGTATCGACACGGACATTCTACGTCGCTCAGATTACATCGCGCTGACGTGCACTTCGTGATAATTCTGCGCATGGTATGTCGTGTCATCAAGCCGCGTACCCTATGTCATCGCATACATGCCACTTCTGACGAGCTAGCATGCCTTTTTTGAAATTTTACGAGTACGCTAGACACCAGTAGAGCGGTGTAGGTGGCTTCGACGAGGGCAATATCGAGTGAGGTAACCTAACACCACCCATGTTGGCACGATCACCAAAGAATTGGAATCCATCACCATAGCATCGGATGGAATCACTCACCATCTAATTAGACTAAATCACCATTGATTTGGACGTTTTTCACCATGAGGGTAGTGAGTATATAGTAAATATAGAGTTGCGCTCTGGTAGTTTCAGGCAGTAATAGAAGTAATTATAGCGCGTCGGGAGGTATTCTTTGTTTCGCTCATCACATTCAAGAGCCTGCTTGCAGAATAAGCAACCTGGCAACGATGGTACGCTTCACTCGCTCTCCTATACGCTTAATATTCCACGTGCAATAATTATACTAAGGCTAAATTCATGTATTACAGAATTTTATGGACTCGAATCGAGCTAATCACAGTGGACGGAGAATACCGCGGATAGAGATATGGAATTCAGCCACGAATTGTGAAATGACACTGGATGAATATGTGGATTTGCTGCCAAGTCGTACTCGTCAACGAAATACACCAGAAAGATGCACGTTGGACCACGCCCGTTTTGATGATGACGAAACGCTGATGACCATACTTCGTTCTAATTGGCTAAATTGCAATGTATGTGATGACATGTAGTATGCCTTGACATAGGCTATTCGGTAATGTATTCCTTTTGACAATTGAGGGGTGAGAAGGGAAAATAACTCGGGTTTTGTATTCAACTGGCCATTAGGAGTATTACTGTTGAACGCGTATTCCAAGCATATAGATTACTAGTGATAGAATCATTTGTACCCAGAAACAGATACTGTAGCTCATCTTAGATAGGTGAGAATAAG